ATAAAATATATATATATATATATATATATATATATATATATATAATAAAACAATTATTATAAATATTGTTTTTATGACTTCATATTGATACAGACTACGTAGCATTTGCACATTTGCTTGATTATTTAATTGAACTGCAATTTAAGCTGAATACGTTATTTGTCAACTACACGTAGATGTAATCAAACAATATAATGGGTAGTCTATTACTTGTATGTAGTGTGATTATTGTATGTAATATACTGTAATTGTTAACAAAATAATAATTCTATTAAAATGTAATCCCAAAATCATGAAACATTATTTTTGATTAAATAACCATGTGCTATCCACTGTCTTAAGCAATAAATAGATCAATAAAATTACTTGGAAAAATGGGTGTCAATCTGGTGTTCTTTCAATATTTAGACAAGCTGGGAACTGCAATTGTTTTTATTAATATTACTATTAGTATTATGTTTACATGTCTGAACCTTGCTGTTTTTCTTTTTTTCCTTGTAAAGATTCATTATTAATGGCATAATTTTGCCTGGCCTCATCTTGCTTAATTGCCATGTGTTAAACGGCCTCCCAAGTATGCCATCCGAATTAGCCCAGCAAATGAGAGACATAGTTTTGGATGTGAAAAAAAGCATGTGTACCCAGAGCAGCGCTCGGCAATGTGAAGCACACAGGGAAAGGTCACAGATAGCCCAGTGCAATGATTTGGTGTGCACCGGCTGTGTGTGTTTGACTGGGTCACAGGTTGTGTGTGTCTGTGCCTTATGCACATGTCGGTCCAAGTGTGTGTTTCAGTGTCTGAGAGGGACACAATGCGATGGGAATATTGTACTAAATGTGTGTGCGGGTTGTTTATTGTGTGTGCACACAGTACATTCGGCCCTATGAGACTATGCCTGTGCGTCGCTCCTGTCGTACTGCTGGAGAGCATGGTCACTAGTGCGGGCGTTTCTAAATGACAAGGTTTATTTGTCGGTGTTGTGATATGTGCAAATATAAACAGCATTAGAAGGCGGGCGGAAGTGCAGCGGGAAGACATATGCTGACACACACACGTGTGTTCGGGAGAGAGACAGTGTGCGCTTGGAGAGGCGTGTGGCGGGGACTAATTAAGGTGTGAGAAGTGGAGAGCAACCTGTGGGCTCTGACCTGGGACTCCCTGCTCTCAGGGCTCCAGGAAATGCTCCTCGCTAGGAGAACGCTGGGATATGGGCCCTGAGAAAATTGATGGAAAGGGTGGGAACTAAATGATCATCTCAGTTTGACAAGATGTTAACGGAGCAATCATGGTTTCAAGTTTTGAAACTATGCATGTTGTTGGCATGCAGAAGTGGTCATTTTTGCTCACATACATAGTAATTACACATTTATAACATAGTAATAACGCATAATGTCAGAATTTAATTGTATCTTGATTTCACACATAAAGTAAACCTTTTAAAGGTGAGTGGAACCTTAACAGTTTGACGAGATGTGAGAAATGATCATGGTTTAGAGTTTTTGAAATGGTCCACATTATTGAAATGCGTAAGCGATCATTTTTTGCAGAAGCACTTTAAGTCTTTATATTGCGTTATAGATGCATTTTAAATCCATTAATTATGCCTTGTAATATACCTTATAATGCAGTGCATTATATCAAAGTTATATTCATTGTTAGATCTTCAAAAAGTGTAATGCATTAAATGAAACTGCAAATTTTATAATGAAATATAATTTTTTTCAGTGTACATTATGCGTACCTATACAATGCATTATACACAAAGGCTTCAAGTGCTACCATTTTTTACTATTACACATAGTAGTAACACGTTTATAACATAGTTAAAACAAGAAACGTTATCTTCAAGAATACACTAAACCACTTAAAGACAAGTAAAATGCAATATACAGCTGTATAAAAACCATTTGATTCCCACAAAAACACTGTGGTGCTAACAAAACATTGCTTTCTCCAATCGCACACCAGTGTATGTGACATTTAACAGCTATCTAAATAGTAACGGCAGAAGATTGGGCAGCGTGCAAAGTCTGGTCCGTATATGTATTTTCATAAAAAGCCCAGAGCTGTATCAGAGCAGCACAGCACTACTACCCAACAGTCAGCACGGATGCCCGTCAAAGCAGCGGCGGGAAATCATCTGTAGTCATCAGTTATTAGGCTACTCTCTCTGAATGACTGACGTCTGCGAATGCAAATGAGAGCGCGTGCCGCGCGTGATTGACAGCTGTGCGCTGATAGCGTATGCTAACTGAATGAGTGAGAGGTGAGACGGGGAGCAGATCGCTCTCCAAAAGCTCACGGCTCCATCCTTTACGACAGACACGAGGAGATATTAACCCGGGCAGACGGGAGAGGGAAAAGGGCAGGCGGGGAGAGAAAGAGCTTTATTTCCGGCGTGGTTTCAGATGAGTAGCATTTGTCATGGAAGGGGAAGATGGTGTAATTAGCTTGTCAGTCTGCTTTAGGCTGAGCTTGCGAGCGCCGGTAAGAAAGATGGACGAACTGCCACACGAGTTGACAGGCAGTCGATAATGTGGCAATTAATGTCATAAATAATTCCTCTACCAATTATATTCGAATGGACCCTGCGCCTTAAAAAGAGAATGGTGTCCCCTTATCATTTCCTTTATCAGCAAGCATCGCCATCATTTCCAACATAATTATTTCTCTTTAAACATCGAAAGAGAGGATGACCCGTACTTTCAAGTGTAGAAAAAATACTCATTCTTTTTTTATTAAATAATGAACACATCATTAGGATCATGTGTGTGGGGGGGTGGGGGTGGGGCTTTAAATGTCACGGTCGGGTCCTAGACAAGATTACACGCTAATGTAATTTCAAAATATGGGGGGCATTAGATAAATCAATTTGGCTTGTTATGTTAAAGGTTGCCAAAGCCTTACTAACATGCAGCGTATTGATCCAACACCACCTTCTACTGTGGGAAAATGCTGGTCTACCTGACCTCGAAAGTCAAAGCAAATGTTTCCCAGAATACATAAATTACTGCAAGAACTACATAAGCCAACATGCCCTAAAAGGCAATGCTATTCAAATATTTACATCTATCATGCCATCACGATCACTCATGTTTCCAGATGACAGGCTATTTAATATTTGTCTCTATTTGGTCACGTAAAATGACAGATATATGCCTGATTAACATTGGAATTCATGGAAGTCCATCTACACTATTACTGTCCTAGTGAACACATAATAAATGGTTATGGCTTCCTCTTTCTCACTGTATCA